GAAAATTGTGGTGTTATCAATAAATATCAATGGATATCAGTGAATTCTGTTGTTATACTCATAATTAGATTATTTTTCCTTTTGATTTAATTTTCTAGTTTTGTGAGAATTCCTTAACTATATTTTTACAGCGTCTGTTAGCCATATAAATAAGATGAAGAGTAGGGAATTTAAAACTCTGCTGGATCAAATATATATTTAGTTTCACTTTCAAAATAAAATTAATTTAATCACGAAATAGTAAAATAAAACCATGAAGACACTTTGATATATGATATACTGAAGTCATCTCACTTCAGTGCATACACATACACATACACACACCCACACAATGGCATATATTTGTATTTAAAGTCACACAATAGAGCGTTTTGCATTTACTGAGTAAGCTTCTGGTGTGGAAGCAAAGTAGACTTTATTATAAATTAGTGATTTTCATAGACTTTTGAATTTATGTGACTACAGTTTGTCTCTCTGAAAAAACTGTTCAGTCAGCTGACTGGGTTAATGTGTAGAAAATCTAACTGAATAAATGAGATTTAATTACAAAATCCATTACAGTACTATCAAATGTAATTACAGTTAAGTTTTCCTTTTTCGACTTATCGTTTGATTTGAGGTGAGTTAAATAACAAGATAATATTGAGAGATTAAGATTCAGTAGAATGACTGGAGTAATTTTATGAATTGCAAACTGTAATAGCCATCTGATGTAGGACAGTACTTCACAGATATCCTAATAACTAGTATGATAAATAAAGTGCATCGACGAGGTTTCAATTCATCAGAATAATTAGTTAGTTAGAGTTTAGCCACTCTTAACCGCTTTTTATGTGGGATGCTGTGAGTTACAAATTTTACGTGGAACTTGTTGACACATTTGCGACAAGATTCGAGCTAGGCTACCCATTGGTTGAAAGCTGAATGCTTAAGCCAGTGAGTCAAGTGAAGTGGAAAGTCGAGAAAGTAAATTAATGTAAGGTATACGGCCGGAAGGGATGATAAGTGAAATTAAAAGCTGACACTGTGCTGAAGGCTAAGGTAATGAGGGATATTCGTACCTATTACTCTTCAGCACTAAGACTCAATTTTCAAAGGTGAATGGTAATTGTTTCTATTGTGTGAAAAAATGAATTCACTAGCAGTGAAGCGAAATGGGTGGCGTAGAGTAAATAATTTCAAATACTTTGTCACAGACTACTGAATGACTATTTTCATTAAGGCGTATAAGTATGAAATATTTAATCTCCTATTTTCAGTCATTACTGGAATTTGAAGACTTAAATGAATCAGTGTAACTCCCTTAATAGCAGAACTTGAACTGATAAATGCATTGACATGAACCGAAAGTTTTCCTTTTCTTATTAAGGGTTAGATGATGTCCATATGACTGCCTTTGTGCATTCTGTGACAATCCCACCAATCAAACAGTTCTTGAATTAAGGTGTCGAGATTCGTTTTTGTAGAAACTATCATCAAACTCGGTTTGGTCCAAGTAAAATGTCTATTAATAAGTCAATGTCACTGACATATTCTTCCTCAATAGAATGATCAATGCTAATATGTGTCTCACAAAATGTTAAGTATTTCGCCAGGTTCTGTTTATAACGGAAGGATGTAACGGTGTAGACAGATATATTATTCACCAAATATAAATCCATCAATAGCTGGACATTCGTAGATGAAGTATCTTAAAGCAACATTAGTGAATATGAACAGTTGACAAGATTAGATAATGAAGTGAACTGTGTATTGATTTGAAAACACTAGGGATAAATTCTAGGCTGAAAAGTTTGCTTTAAAAAAAACTGATACAAGAGAGATATATTAAATAGTGATGGGCAGAGTAGCCTATCTACCAATATCCCTGATGACTGAATACAACTGCTTATCTAAATAACCACAGTGAATCCATTATTAGCTTTTAACTGTTAGTGTAATTAGGACAAACAGTATGACTCATGATTTATGAAAATTTTTCACAGTATCAGAATTTGAAACACAGATAAAACAGTGAAGAATCAATATAAATTTGACATGAAGTAATGAAATAATTTGCTCAAATAGTATTTAACACGGTAAATAGGACTGGAGAATCTTGAAAACTGATTTTGGATTGAAGACAAAACTAAAAATAGAAACTCTAGGAAAAGGATTAAAAATATTTAAGTGTTATTCCAACCATGTCATAAAATTTTCATTCCGCATTACATCATATTCTATATTCGTATAATTTGCACACATGATCTTCGCGCTTTGTGAGACGACATATACTTTTGCTAATTTATATATTTTGGTTCGAAACAGTCAATACATAATACTAAATGAAAAACTCTGTCGAAGACCACTTAAATCCCTCCTAGCTGCGCTAAGGTGATCGAACACCGAATGGTCATTTCATTTGTTTTGGGCGGACCTAACAGCGGTTTACCTCGACTTATCTAGCTCAAAGAACCAAACAAACTGAAACCATCACTATGCTCCTTGGCTGTTCGAGTGTGAACTGGTAATGCATAAAATAAAACTTATTGTTTGGAAAGAACACAGCTTGAATCGAAGTATACTTTGAAAACCCATAATCTGTGGATCATATTGTTTCACTTGACTGACACCAGTAACGGCATTAAGAAACAAAATTACAAAATGGTACATACCACTGACTTAAGTTATTGGTAAAAAACGTCTCAGGAACTGGTTGATGGCATGGTATGGTCTCAGTATTTTGAGTTTTGAAGCGAAACAGGCGAGAAGGTTCATGTCATACTTTGCAATATTCATATGACTAGGTTTCTTCCTTCTCCCTCATTTCATGTCTAGTTCTTTATGTGCTTCTGAACAATGTTTTTACAGTAAAACCACAGAAATCTTTCTTCGCGGTTAATGGAAAACTTGGCTGAAATCAAAGCACATTTATTTATTTCACTGCGTTCAAGCACTAATAAGTCTTTGATTGGACACTAGATGATGTCATGGATAAATCTTTGTATTCTGCACATAAGCTGCGCTAAAACTCTCTATCTCATGATACATAATCGTATTTTATTTCAAAAACTAGATCAAAATATAAAAGAAAGTATGGCTTTATGTATACCTACTTGAACATATCATAATTATTATACCGTGTGACTATTATCTATGTACCATTATGTTCCAAAATGTAACAATATGTATCATATTCTGGTCTCATATATCCAATCTTGAGGAGTCTTAAGTGAAGAAAACTGAAAAAGGACAACAGATTTCATATAATACTCATCATCATAGAGAGTTGACAAGCAGCTTACTAGATAGAATCATGTGAAATGTACTATTCAGAAATTACTTGTAAAGAATTTTAAATTTCAACTTTGATAAAAGACGTGTTCAAAAAAAATATTTATTTTGGTACTTTTTGGTATTAACGTTTGCGCCTGACAAATCTAATACTTAAAAATTTCAGATATGATAACTCACCAATAAGTTTAAGTGTATTCACGTGTTGTTCTAATTTGTAACATTGGGTATTCATTAATGTCTGCTGAACTAAAATCTTTGATAAAATGTTAGATATCGGAAACTATAAGACTAATGAGATGTTACCACGTAGAAGCCGGAAGTATTATGTTTCTGTTAATCTTTTCTTTATACTTTTAGTCAATATATTGCAACTTTATTCCATTATTTCCTTTCTTATATGTAACATAAGGAGCTTTCAGTACGATGCGACATTAAAGAATAAGCTTATGGATTAACACCTCTCTTTTCTGATAGACCTTTGAGTTCTGAGGAGGAATTGAAGAAAGTTGGCATAAATTTGCTCAGTGAATCTCCATTTGTAAAATATAAGTGAATTAAAATTCAGTTAATTTTTTAAGGTGAATCCGAAATATAAACTGAATTAACTGCAGAAAAAAAACAATTAGATTGTCTTTGACTTTACATCTTCTGTTAGCATGCAGCATATTGAATAAAGTGAGAACATAAAGTGTGGTTATTCGAAGAGTTTAAGATTATTCTAGAATAACTGTGATATACTACGTGTTGTATCCTAGAATTAGCTTCATCATTTACAGAATACACATTTGGAGGTAAGAATTTGTTATAATTTCTTTTATACTACCAATTCGTCCATTAGAGAGCCTGAATTCAGGTGGTGTGGACTGAATCGGTTTCTTTCATCTGAGTCTTTCTCTTAATGCAACTGTTGGACTTGACCACAAAGGAATGAAATTATCTTTTAGTGTTTATTTTATTTCGATCTGTCTTGACATGATTGGTTTGAACTACTGATACCAAACAACAGCATATGCCTTCATGTTTTGTTCTACTTAGATTATTAAGGACGGTAAATCCTAAAAACTTGAATATCAGTAAACGCTGCCCACCAAACACCAGAGTTAATCTGCAGTAAATTATTATTAGTAGTAGTATGTGTGCCGGTGGCACAGCGGTAGAATGCTCGCCTACCACGCAAGTGGTTCGGGATTCGATTTCCGGCCAACGCACTCCTTTACCTCGCTAAGCCAGTAATATACCTGAGAAAGAGGGATGGTTGTGCATGCGCCTCGCAACCCTATCCCGTAAAAATAAACACCACTGCTACTGAAACTTCTAGCCTTTAGCTTGAGGCCTTGTATTCCACTGAGAACGTAAGGAAACAAAAAAGGTAGTAGTAGTTACGCTAGTTTACTACAGCACTGAGCTCTGATAAGTTCACCTTGTCATATAAAACAGGATCTTGTTTATCTAGAAAAGGAAAAATTTGTAGGAGTAGTAGAAAATGAAAATGAAAACAGTGGCAATGTTATATTTTCCACAATATACGTAATACTGATGATAACTATGTTATGCCTCATGCAAAAGAGTAAACTTACAAACTCGTATCGAGGCTAGACATATTCATATCTCTGGAGATTTTACGCAACGCAAACTATTCACATCTACTGCCTGTAATTAGTTTTCTCATTAAAGGAAAACTGCATTATTAAAATTTTGATTCTTATTTTTCATTTCTCCCATAGGTAATCATTCAATTTTGCGTCCAATATTCTGTAATACAAGAAATCCACTTATAAAATATAATTTGTTAGCAAATACAGAGCAAGAATCTTTTGGAAAATATCGAATTTTTCGTAAAAGTGTGAAAGTTTCAGTCAAATTTACGAAAAATTCCCTAGGCCAAGATATATTCAATATTCTTGTGACAGGTCAGTTCTACTACGTATTTTTATTGAATTTCTTTTTAGTTTTCAGGTTTATAAGTTAAGTGATTTTTATGTTTCTTATTCCAATAAGATAAGATTTCTGTGAAGTTTTTCTTCATTGACCTCAGTTCATATATATGTATATATACTGAAATTTATAAGCAAATACAAATGTTCTGTCAACTTTCAGCATCCTTGTCTTGTCTTCCTTTTTCAATGAGTGAATGCTCATACTGTTTTTCCCAGTTAAACTAAAAATATTAGTGGTCATAATAGAAGATATTTCCACTAGACAGGACTCTAGGTGAACATAAAGAAGACGGAGATGATGAAGACAACCAATCAACATCAACAACAGTAACCAGCATCAATCAGCATCAACGAGGGAGATTTGACAGAGATTAGCTCCTTTACTTATCTAGGAAGCATCGTTTCAACCACAGGCGGAACGCATGAAGATGTCAAAGTCAGAATCGGAAAGGCAAGACACGCCGTCATCAACCTGAAACCAAATTGGAAATCTTCAGCACTCAGTATCAGGAACAAGATTCGCGTTTTTCACAACAATGTGAAGTCAGTCACTGCTTTTATACAGGTCGGAAACTTAGAGCGTAACGAAAAGGATTTCCAACAGGTTGCAGACTTTCATCAATAGCCGCTCCATAGTGAAGTTCAAATGGGCAGAAAGAATTAGTAACAAGAAACAGTGGTAACAAACCAACCAAGAGACGATCGCTCAGCAAACATATAGGAGGAAATGGAGATGGATTGGGCATACATTGAGGAGGCCATCGAATGGCACCACGCACATTGCAGGCCATCGCTCCAGTGGAATCCCAATGGGAAGCGATGAGTGGGTCGTCAAAGCGAGGGTGACGTGGTGGAGATCGTCTGAGGAAGAGATAAGAGAATTCGAGCAATCGTGGACCCAGCTGAAGAAGATAGCAGAAAATAGAAGAAAGTGGGCATGTGTTGTTGAAGCCTTATGTTCCACTCGGAACCCAAAGAAACAATAATAATAATAAATAATATATTACCAGGTCAAATATGATTAAGACATTCATTTTTTAAATATAACTAGTTTATATGTAATATCGATTAATTTCCTTGAAGAAGTTCGGACCAGTTTGCCAGACGAAACTTTGGAATTACTAATTTCAATTTCGCTGAGATTTTACAAATATAATTTTTAAATATGTCTATATTTTGCTCGACGACAAATTATTTCGGAACTATTCTGTCAAATCTTGACCACATTTCATATGAATAACTAGATTACAATGATACTTCTCTGATTTCATCATCTCATTATTGACTTTTCACAAATACATTACCAAATTACTTTGTAAAAATTATTTTCAGTTCATCCTTTTAACTATTTTGATAAATTAAGTTTTTTACAGTTTGAAAAGTACACTGTATTTAGTCACAAAAAGTTAATTGGTAATTTTGAAAAGAAGTAGAACAAACAATTAAAAGTAGGCAGCAAAATCCATTGACCCTTGATGTTCACGTATCTTTTCCAAAGAGAAGCAAAGATGTGAAATTACAGCATTGAACACATTGGATAGCTAGAAATATATGCAGCAAGAGAGACGGAGTGTGATATATATATATATATATGTATATGTATCTTGTTAGGAGGAAGTTCCTCGAAAAATTAAATGACAAATTAGTCGTTACGGTGGTAAAAAGATTAGTAACAATTGCGTAATCTGATAAGAGAAGATCAAAACTTGGGGTGCTAGAGGTCAAATGCAATGATAAGACCAAAAAAATTATCCCTTATGGATGTCAAAATGAAATAAACGAGGGTTGAAAAGATAAGTTAGTGAAATTTAAAGACAAAGAGTTACCAAGGGACGATGGAAAAGGGTCACACTAAAGCTGAAATGAATATGGCTTCATTATCAATCCAGTACTAACTAACTAAAGTCCCTTTTTTATGGTCTTGGGAAATTTATTTGCTTAAATATTTTATTTCGATCCATGAAAAAATACAGATCTCTGTAAATATATATTTTTTTTGATAATAATGTTACTGTCTTCGTACAGATTTTATGATTCTTTTTTGTGATTCATTATGTCACAGTTTTGTTTGCCACTTACAGAGACGCCATTTCTTCAACTAAAGAATGGTCCTCTTAAACAGATCTTTTATTTTTACTAGTAAGGATAATAGTCATATACTGTTGATTACTCCAGAGTTCCATTTAATCTGAGGTTTCCTTTTTTCAGTTAAGCTATATTTTGTGGAGTTTTCATGAACATAAGAATCCATTTTATATTTAAGTAAGCACCCAAAAGTATTTACTTATTATTATTCCTTCGGGTTCATATTGGAAAGTTCGTCTTAGCAGCATACTTCCAATTTACTCTGTTCTCTGTGGTACCTTTAACCTGACTCCAGGAGTACCAATAAATTTTCATTTCTTTCTCACATGATCTCCTCACAACCAGACCCACGTCCAACTCATCGGCTCCCATCTGAGTTCCACTCGAAAGCTTACCTGTCGTGTGATATCACTCAACGGCCCCTGCGGTGTATTTCCCATCCATTTCCAATTTATTCGGTATCATGCTTTTGATCAGTGGGCTGTTGGTTTATTCTTTGAAAACCTCCATTGTTAATTATCCTTTCTGACTATCTGATCCTCAATATGCAGCGAAGGCAGCTGTTGGTTAATAGAATATGCAGAACTTTATTGGATGTGCTTTTGGTGATGCTCACACCAAGTTTCTAAACGATATAGAAGCAGTGACCTGACACGTGTTGAAAATCGTAATTTTTTTCTTCATAGCGACTGCAATGGACTTCTACTCTGATTTCACAGTAATGAAGGTCCTTCTTGGTTTTCTGATCCTAACTTTGACATCCTCATCTGCGACGTGTGTAATTGAAACTATCCTGCTTAGGTGAGATAAACGACGGAGGTGACTTCATTTGGATTTATCCTGTTAATGGCGATTGATGCAAGTTACTGGTTAGGTGTTTCGATAACCTCTGCCTTTGCCATGTTCACTTGATATTTTATTCTCGTTACTTCTGCCAACATTTTGATTTCACCCTGTAGATCTTCAAGTTTGACATTAATAATTCAAGATGTTCAGATCTTCTAGCGTCTTCTTCTTGGTTCAACACTTACCTGTCTTTTTCCTTCCCCTGAATGACTGAATAAATCATAATAAAAATGACGTTTAAAAACAGCAGCTTAGTTTCGTGCCACTTGAGTATAAAAATTAAATAAATAATCCTTAAAAATCTCTCCTAAATAGCCTTTAGTTCAAAGATATTGTCAGCAAGCCGACTCCATTATTAGTTCATCTTCCCTGAAATGAATAATGAAAAATATCAACAGATTTTTGAAAATTATTTAACCACCTATGATAATGGTAGTGCTAGGTTTGGTTCATATGCTGCAGTAGTGTACATGTAATCAGTTACACATAGAAAATTAATGTTTCATCTAGGGTATTTGAACCTTCTTTTCATTCAAGTCAAAATTTCATAAGAATAACAGAAATTTATTTTTCTAAGCGAAATGGTCTACTTATACTAATAATGACATAAACATAGTGGGTGACACTTTAGCAGATTTTCGATGTCCGTATTTTTCATGAATTATAGATACCCTGATAACTTGACATTTAAAAATAAAATACTCTGATGTGTAGGCGAATATTTTAGTGTAAAATAATAGATAATGTAATATTTATTTCTGTCTCAGTTTCTTAGATTTATTTCACTGAAGCTTTCAACATCTGTCTAAATTTCTTTCAAAATACTGTTTGATTTGATATGCAACTTTCCATCAACTTACTCACCCAATGATCAAATTTATAGAGTTGAATTAACAAAATCACTTCGCCTTAAATCCAAATAGTTAAAATTGATTACACTCTTTTCCCGCTGTCGAAGTAAACAGGCAAATTTCATCGACACTTAATGACTGTTAGTGATAAATTACTATTTGGTGTGATAATGCTAATAATGGACAACAGGATAAACAATAGAAAATACTCTGTCCGTCATCTGTCTATGAATGAACTTTTACTATTTGTAAGTATAATTAGTAACCACAAAGCGTTGCATTCATATTTCAACAATTTATATCTTCAACATGATAAATATTGAGTTTACTATAGCCTTAGAATCACGAATCATTACTTTATAATACATATAAATTACTTATAGATGGTCATTATAAGACATAGAGAGCTACTAGTGATGGTGATGAAAGACATGTTGTTGGTTATTCAGTTACATCAGAATTTGTCCAACTTCTATCCGCTATTAATTGTATGTATTTAAGTGACACTTGAGTACCGAGTGCAACACGGGGGTTCAGCAAGATATCCTTTATTCGCTTTGTTCTCACAGTTGTCCATAAGCTGTCATTTCCTCCCCTCCATGTCACACTTGAACGGAAAACCCATCGGTTCCCATTCGTGTTACGCCCGACAGCCTAGGACCTGGTGTCACTTAATGATCTCGGTGTATGTCTAATTCATCGCCATCTCCTTATGTATCAGTGTTGGATAATAAGTTCTTGCTTAGTCTGTTGTCGGAGTTCGTTGTTATTAATCATTTCTGGTCACCCAAGGACCACTGTCGCAAGTGTTTTTGGTGACGCACAGAATCTTCAAACCATATAGAAGCACCGATGTTATACCAAAGTTGAAGATCCAGATATGATATGGTGTTCTAGGTTCTCTCTCCTGCCTGCAGTTTGTTCCCCCTTCGTCTTCAGTCCCTCCTAACAATCTTCTTAACTCCCTTGTTCAGTGCGCAGTATGTTACACTCATTTTTCACTTTCGTTATTCACCTTCGCACTGATTCATCTTCTGGTTCACGATCATCCTCTTCTCTTTAAGGTTCCAGTTTCTGAGATCTGTCCCCAGTCTCTTTGAGGATTTCGATTTTGAAGGTCTCTTGCCATAGATAGTGGTCTGACCTCAAATCTGCTCTGGGCTACGTCTTCACATTCTTGAGTAACATTGA